TAGCTGGGACTACAGGCATGCGCCACCATGCCCGGCTAATTTTTTTATATATATATCAGTTGGCCAATTAATTTCTTTCTATTTATAGTAGAGACGGGGTCTCGCTCTTGCTCAGGCTGGTTTTGAACTTCTGCTAACTTTGTTTTGATTGAAAGGGAAAGCACCTAGAAATTCAAGAACTTTACAACCAAAGTTTATTCTTCGAATTGAAGCATTGCAATAATGATAAGTGACATGCCCACAAAGGAGACTTACTTTGTGGTACCTAGTCTCTTTCCCGCACTCCTTCAGAGTAACTGCTTCCCTACCCCTCTAGCCTTCTTAATACAACTTCCAAAAAAGATAAAGGGTGATGGCTCTGTTGAGGGTTTAAAATTCTTTGTCATTTCTTTTTTTTTATTTGTAGTTTACAGAACTTTGAAGATAGACATGGAAAAATTGGATAAACTACAAAATATGAATGAAGAACTTCAGAGAAATGTTTCTCTACAATTGATGAATAACATAAGTAGCTCCAACAAGATCAGGAACTTCTCCATCACACTGCAAAAAATAGCCACTAAATTATGTTATGAGCTATATAGAAAAGAACAAGGTAACCATTGATTGCTCTTGGAGTTATTTGCTAGACAATGAACTATAGAGTCCGTTAAGAATCATTTCATTAGCTCTTACTCAAGGGGTGAGGGGGGACATGGGCAATATATGTAACCTTAACACTTGTACCCCCATAATACGCTAAAAAAATGTAACTTGCTTTTAACATCTATTGGTTAAGTCTGTGAAATAAAACTTAATAAAAGAAAAAAAATCATTTCATTAATAGCTATCAGCCTTTCCCTGGGAAGCTTTTATTTGGGGAAAGGAATTAAATGTGGTTGACAGAGAACTCATTGCTATTTCCATGTAGTTAGAAGAAAAACAAAAACAAGTAATAATAATTACAGGCCCTGAAATTATCAGAGAATGACAGTTACACAATAAAACACAATACAGTTTCTCTTTCGTTAACTACAGTTGTTCTGGGCACCTAGGTCAACAGAAGATAGAGAGGAAATGACACCTCTTTATAGGTGACTTCATTCCTAAATTTCAGGCAATAATTGATAGCAAAGAGTCCATAGAAAATAAATAAACTGAGGTGTTACTTTTGGGATTTGGGGGAGGTGGTCTTATAATATCTCTATAAATTTCTGTACTTACTATAGTTAAAATATATTTCTTGTGCTCCTGAGAAGCCTCTCAAATATTCACTAAGTCAGAGAGCTAGAGGTTGGCAAAGGCAGGATTAGTATAGGTGTGTAGGGTTGATTGTTTCTGTACAGAATGTTTCCCATGATTCATTTTTATTGCCATTAAAGCATACAAAAACTGACAAAGGGAGATTGACACAGAAAGATACACTTGAATCCAAGTATTTAATTTAAAATTTATTGTTCAAGATTTGTTTCTGACACATTATAGTGATATACAGGCATCTACAATACAGGATTCATTTTCTTCCCCTTTGATGTAAAAGAGAAGAAACAGTAAATTTGATCCATGTCACACAGAGTAAAAGAAATAATAAGAATGGTAAAAACTATCAACACAAACCAAATAAAACTATGTTCTTCTTCCAGAGCACAAATGTAAACCTTGTCCAAAGAAATGGTTGTGGCATGAAGACAACTGTTATCTTCCATATGATAATATTCAAACATGGCAAAAGAGTGAAAAGCAATGTGCTTCTCAGAATGCCAGATTATTGAAGATTAACAGCAAGAGTGCATTGGTAAAACCACGTCTTTCTGCTTTTGAGGAGGAAAAATACTTTTCCCATCATAGGATGGAGAGCGGTAGGGCATGTTGGGAAGACTTGGATCCACTCAATCATGATTCTAGCTGATTTTAGTTGGAGTATGTGTGAGGTTGACTGAGACTTTGTACATTTATGTCAGGATATTATAGTCAAGGCAAATCATATAAAAGCTTAGCTTAGGACCTTATCATCAAAAGATTCATAGAAGCTGATGGGTAGATGAGTAGATATGGGGCACCCAGAATCTACAAGTCTATGAACGTTTACAAATTGGAACTCTGAAATCAAATCTCAGAACATAATTTCCATATGATTATGTAAAAACAAAGGATCTAGAGATGATTTTTGAGATTTAGAGATTATTTAATGCCATAAAAACCACAAAAGTCTGGTTTCTACCGTTTTGTATTAAGATTTTTTCATTTACTAAGAGAAGAAGCCAAGTTATACTAGGATCTCATAAAATATGTATAAACAAGTAGAATTGAGATGAGACAGCAAAAGGCAAATGCCAACCAGATATATTACATTGAGTCCTTGGGTCCCAGGAAAAAAATGGGTTCTCTGGTAGCTTTATTTATTTTCTTTTTTTCCCCCATGTCTAAATGACATCTCCATATTACAATTATTAGTTAACATTCCTGGTCTTTCAGAAAGTAATTGTATATTTTTAAGGAAAATTACATTTTCCTAAAAGTCTCAGCTTCCCTACTGTAAGAAACTTTGTTATCTTTTATAGAACAGGTAAAATCAATCCATAAGCTCTTTTCTGATCAGATTATTTTCAAATAATCCATTCATAGTGACTTACTCAAAAAAATTTTTTTCAAGACTGAAATAAAAAAAAAAAACTATATAGCTGCCACTTTGGCTACAAAATTCTGAGCTATTTCTAAATCCTATTCTATAACCTCTCTCATCTGAGTTTGCTGTATTTTTTCCTACTCTTTTTGTTTCTATTACCTTTTCTTTACAGTTATTAACCACCTTCTTTGCCCCTGGACTGAGTATTTACTGCTAAAATTTTTGAATCATAAAATTTATGGACTTTTCATTGACCTAAACTTAAAGCTATACATGGATTGGTAGGTCCTTTCTTCATTTAAGACAGGAAGTAATATTGTAAAAAAAATGTCAAAATCATATAATAAGGAGTACCTTCTTTCAATTTCTTTTAATGACATTGAAAAGTAGTAGTGCAATGTCAAATATGTTACCTTAAAACAGTATTTTGTGAGAAATGACATTATAAGGCAATGCACAAAAATAGGAAACAGTTTTTTAAACAGACAATCTCTATTTCCTGTAGGACTTTATAAAATCCCGGGATTTATATGACTATTGGCTGGGATTATCTCCCAGAGAAGATTACATCTACTTTAAGTTGGATGAGATAGTCAACTCCCCTGACTGGTAAGTAACCATTATTTTTAAAATTTGACAGTTAAGTTTGAGTAGACATATTTTGCTCAGGAATATTGTGCATTCCAATATTCCAATTAAAATTAGCTTAAGTTGAAATTGCATTTTTAAAGAACCCTTTTCTATTAGGTTTCTTTGATGTATTTCAAAATGCAGAAAGTTGCCACAAATGTCTTGTTATTATTTTGACAAGTCACTAAACAATTTATAGTAAACAAATTATGGAGAATTTCTGTAAATAATGCTTTTTTTCTAAGAAAATTATGGAAGTTCACAAAAGTCACTGAACTCTAACAAATACTTAATATTGTGCTAATATCTGTGATTCAAAGATGAATGAAAGATTGATTTTTTAAAGTTACTTAATCATCAATTATATGTACAGACTGTTAGAATAATTCTGGAGATAAAAAGAGCATAGTGTGATAAATGCTTCAGTAAGAATGCACAAAATAGGGCCAGGCGTGGTGGCTCACGCCTGTAATCCTAGCACTCTGGAAGGCCGAGGTGGGCGGATTGCTCGAGGTCAGGAGTTCGAAACCAGCCTGAGCAAGACCCTGTCTCTAATAGAAAGACATTAATTGGCCAACTAATATATATAGAAAAAATTAGCCAGGCATGGTGGTGCATGCCTGTAGTCCCAGCTACTCGGGAGGCTGAGGCAGCAGGATTGCTTGAGCCCAGGAGTTTGAGGTTGCTGTGAGCTAGGCTGAGCCCATGCACTCACTCTAGCCTGGGCAACAAAGCAAGACTATCTCAAAAAAAAAAAGAATACATAAAAATAACAAAAATAAATTTTAGTTTTTGAACTTTTGTTATAACTGACATTTAAAAATACATTTTTGAATAAAAATTTAGAGACTGCTAGAGCATTTCAGGTCAAAGGTGATAAAATAAACTTTGGCATGGTATCTCACATACATTTTATATAGAAAACAATTTGTTATGTAATACATTGAGGAATGTGGTTATAAACACCCTATTATAAATGATTTTATTTGCTCTGCTTGTAATGGAAAACATCAAGGTGTTATATAAAAACAGTGCCAAAATTTCATTTGTGTTTTATAATCCCTGAAATTTTAGAAACAAATAGTACCAGACTAAAGAAAGAAGCCAGAGCTCCAATCTGCTGGATACTGTTGGAAGCTCACTATTAAGACATATTTTTTAGTTGATGACAATTTTGGCAGGAGGTTGCTCAGAGGCAGTGTGTTGAGGTGCCGCCACTCTGAGTCTGGGCACTGAGGTCTCTGCATGCTCATCACATTGAACCACACCACAAACACAAATTCTTGTTTTGTTTTATTTGTTTGCTTTTTCTTCACATAGAAATGGTAGCTATAGGACTGTGGGTCAGAAAGACAAGGTGGCCCTATCACTGGTGGTTGGTGATGATACAACATACAAATGGAGGGGAGAAGGATATATATTTTAAAGGTCTCATTTGGAGTAAAGGACTAGGGTAAAGGTGATGTGTGCGTTACAAGAGAGTATAGATGGAATCTTGTTTTGAAAAAAGTAGAATATACATGTGCTTTTTGTATTTATTGCAAATGGGAGAGTAATCTATAATGGAATGGAAAACATTGTGGATATTTTAAATTATTATGTAATACAGAAAATGTATTATATAAATGTTTTAATTCAGAAAATACATTATGACACATGTATATATATATAAATAATTTCCTTTTGTTTTTCTTCTCAATGTTATTTTGGGGCTTGTTTCTGGAAAGGGGTTGATAATAAATGACATAAATAAATAAATAACTTTATCACCACAAACAAGGAACCTTATTCTTAAAAACTTAATTGGTGGCCGGGCGCGGTGGCTCACGCCTGTAATCCTAGCTCTTGGAGGCCGGAGGCGGATTGCTCAAGGTCAGGAGTTCAAAACCAGCCTGAGTAAGAGCGAGACCCCGTCTCTACTATAAATAGAAAGAAATTAATTGGCCAACTGATATATATATAAAAAATTAGCCGGCCATGGTGGCGCATGCCTGTTATCCCAGCTACTTGGGAGGCTGAGGCAGGAGGATTGCTTGAGCCCAGGAGTTTGAGGTTGCTGTGAGCTAGGCTGATGCCAGGGCACTCACTCTAGCCTGGGCAACAAAGTGAGACTCTGTCTCAAAAAAAAAAAAAAAAAAACTTAATTGGTGAATTTCTTTATTGATTGATGGTCATTATTTACTGACCTAGGTATTGATGTTGCATTTATCCAAAAGATAATATTTTTAATTAATTTATTTTTAAAAGGTTTATTTATTTCAATAGATTTAGGAGGTACAGATGTGTTTTTGTTACATGGATGAATTGTGTAATGATGGAGTCTGGGCTTTTAGAGAACCCATCACCTGGATAGTGCACATTGTACCCAGTAGGCAAGTTTTCATCCCTCACCCCTCTCCCCCCTTCCCCTTCTGAGTCTTCAGTGTCCATTATACCGCTCTGTGTAACCATGTATAGCCATTGTTTAGCTCCCACTTATACGTGAGAACATGTGATGTTTGTTTTTATGTGCCTCAGATACTTCACTTGAGATAATGGCCTCCAGTTCCATCCAAGTTGTTGCAAAAGACATTATTTTATTCTTTTTTATGGCTAAGTGGTATTCCATGGTGTGGAATTTTCTTTATCCACTCATCAGTTCATGGGCACTTAGGTTGATTCCATGTCTTTGCAATTGTGAATTGTGCTGCAATAAATATATGGCAAATGCAAGTGTATTTTTGATATAATGACTTCTTTTTCTTTGGGTAGATACTTTTAATTTACAAATTTTTCTTTAGTACATAGTCCTTGTTCATTAATCTAGTATGTGTGCTGGTAATTAGTGAGAACTTCAGAGTAAAAATCTCTGAAAACTGTCTAGAAGGAAATGTCATTTGGAAATGACGTTGAGCTTGTGTCATACATAGGTTATTCCCAATTTTGGTGATTATAAAAACACTTTAGGAAGACAATGTCAAAGATATACTACTGAGTCAGTTAGACTAGAGAATTTTATGGAATGGAACTCTAAATCATATTAGCAGTGGAAGAGGTGGGGTGCTAAGCCTGGAAGTGAAAGAGAGTAAATACTCCAGATGTGGGAAAGTAGGGAAAGCAGGGAGAAACAAACCAGCATTTGACATTGCATATTAATCAATACAGACAACAAACTTGTACATTCTTGATATTCTGAACATTAAATCAAATTTAGCTTTCACCATACAGACCCAGGGGCAATAATGTCTTGTTGGAAAAGTAAATTTTTTTTTTTGTAAATATGTTTCAAACATCTGACTTGCCAAATGTAGTTCTTTATTTTCTCTTTCAGGGAAATAAGAAACACAACTGACTTCAATAACAAGTATTGTGGATATTTAAGTGGACAATATGTTTATTATTATAAATGTGATATAAGAAAAAAAATTATATGTGAGAAGATGGCCAATCCAGTGAAGATTGAAAGTGCACTAGCCAGTGAAGTTCCAGATTAAAGAATGTAGTTAGTGCAATTATTTTGTATCAGTTAATGTCCTGCAAGTGCAGGCAACTTTAGAAAGCACCTATCTCCTAAACCATACGAATAAAATGAAAATCCTGTGAGAATAAATTTTTGCTTTTCTCCTAACATTTGCATCTTGAAACTTTCTTCTTTCTCCTCATTTGCTGAGTATAAGGAACCTAAAGTCATACCTTATCAGTGAGATACAGTATAGATGCTGTTCAGAATTAAAATATGGTTTCCTGGTGAGAATATAGGAATCTGAAACTCATATTTTTTTACTTTTCCAAAAATAAACAAGGGCAATTCCAACCTTATAGAAAATCAGAGAAAATTAAATCCAAAAAATATAGAAAGGATAATTCATTTTGATAAAATATAAAAAATAAAACTTAAGGTATAAAGTTGTATAGTTAACAGTAAACATCATACTTCTGGTAAAAGAATGTTTTTACTTTCAGTGCTGAAACAAGGTAAGAATGATCTTTTATCAATCATTTTATTCAACAGCCCTTATTGTGTATTAGAGGTCCTAGCAGTCCAATAAGGCAAGAAAAAGAAACACAAAATATAAAAAAAAAGGAAAAGGAAGAAATGAAACATTTTTATTTGTAGATAATATAATTATGTACATGGGAACCAATATAAAATGGAAGGAAAGGGGCTTCAAGACAGCTGACTAGGGACACTGGCAGGCACTCGCTTCTTCCACAAAGGGACCAAAACAGCAAATACGTAATCACACATTGAAGAGAGTGTCTAAGAGGTAGCATTGGCGTTCAGCAGGAAAGTGACAGGGAACCTCTGAAGCATGGAAGGATAAAAAAAGAGAAGCAGCTGGCCCATCTGGGATTGGCTCAGAGTTGGTAAGGATTCCCCATTGTGGGACAAAGGTAAGCAAAAAAAATCACCAGTGGCCCACATTCCTACTGTAGACTCCTGCGATCCTAGCCATGGGAGAGCCTGTCAGCTCCTATGGGCCCTGAGACTAGTGTAAGGAGCTTCCTGGAGTCCATGAACATCACTGTTACAGACAGGGAGTTCATGCAGAGTCCCATGTATCCTCTTAGACCTAAGCAGCTGTAGTACAGTGCTTATTTTGATCCCAGGCCCCACTAGCTTGCATCCTGCCTTATGGCCCAACAGCCTCTGCATCTCCACATCCCTAGAGCCCCACTTACATCCCCCTATGTCCGTTCAGAAGGCCACAGCATTGTGATGCTGGCAGTGTCCCCAGCATTCTAGCCCACACAGTGTCTTGCAACCTGGGGACTGGATGGTGCAGCACAACAGGGAAGCTGCCCCCAAGACCAAGGGAGGCAAAGCACATGCTCCACAGAGCCAGGGAGCTTCTGGCTTGGGGTCCTGCCAGTGACATCAATACTATTTCCCCTTCTTTTGGCAGCAGAGCCACTGTGCACCTGCATGAGCCTTCAAAGGTGTTGGGGAGAGGCATGACCAGGTGCTATCACAGAATCTAAGGACAGGTTCTCCTGACCTCCCGGTAGCACCTGTGTGTGCCATCTGTAGGCCTGAGGAGTTTGACCCCACACACTGCAACTGAGCTGGTGCCTGGGCATGCCTTCTGGGGGACTGGGGATTGGCCAGCCCTACCCAACACGGCAGGCATCTACTCACACCATCTGGAGGCCTAAGATTAGGGTCAACCCACCTTCTGCCACTGCCTCCTGTGTCATAGCATGCTGTACAAGGTCCTGAGGGTCAACCTACTCAGCCTGCTGCAGCCTGAGCCTGTGTGCACCAACAGGAGACCTGAGGACATATACACCCCACCTGGCAACACCAGCATCCACACACAACATGCAGGAGCCTGGGAATCATATTGCCTACCTTCACTGGCACCTATGCATATCTTCCAGGGGCCTGAGGATGGGCCTGACCAGCCCATGGCCACCACTGCTGGCATTTACACATGCTACTTGGAATCTCAATGGTTAGACCACCACCACTACTGCAATCACCAAGGTTACACAGGCCACCCAGGGCCCTGAGGACCCACCTACCCATTTAGCCCACAATTACCACTGCTGGTACCTGAGAAAGTCTCTTGGAGGCCCAAGGATCAACCCACACAGACCTGCTACCACTGGTGCCTGCATAACATATATCTCATGGAAGCCCAAGGACCAGAATGCCTAGACCACTCCTGCCACTTCTGGGGCCCAAAGGTTGGCCTACCTGGGATCCCTGTCCTGAGCAAAGCCTCACCACAGCCTCTAATAACAACCATAGCTTAAGCCACTGGGGAACTCATAGACACCACTAACACTGATTATAGCTGAAAAAATCATTTGAAGACTATATTACTAAGTCCACCATAATCAAAGCCCCACCAAACCAACATTTATGAATACATCTATAGGAAAAAGCCTTTCTCCATGAAAGCCAATGCATAAAATTAGAAGAAATGACTGTTACACCAAATGTGAAGATATCAACATAAGAACACAAGAAACATGAAAAGAAACACAATAATTCTCCAGCAACAGATTTTGACAAAAAAGAAATCAATGAAATGCCTTAAAAAATTCAAAAATATAATATTAGAAATTCAGTGAGATACAAGAAAACATAGAAATCAGGAAAAATATTCATTATCTGAATGATAAATTCAACAAAGAGATAGATACCACAAAAAGAGCCAAACAGAAATTCTAGAAATGAATAATTCAATGAACGAAATAAAATAAATAAAGAGATTCAACAATAGACTAGATCGAGAATAAAGAATTTCTGAACTTAAAGATAGGTCTATTGAAATAACCTAGTCAGGGAGGAGAAGGAGAAAAGGAGTAGAAGGAGAAGGAGGAGAAGGAGGAGGAGGGGGAGGAGAAGAAAGAAGGGAAGGGAAGGGAAGGAAAGAAAGTAACCAGTATTTTAATTTTGGGAGTTCCAGAAGTAGATGGGCAAAGATATAAAAACCTATTTAACAAAATAATAGCTAAAAATTTCCCAAGTCTTGCAATAGATATATATAATCCATATACAGAATGCTTAAAGATCTCCAATAGATTTAACCCTAAAGGGTCTACTCCAAAGCACATGATAGTCAAACTATAAAAAGCCAAAGAGAGAATTTTTAAATGAGTAAAAGAAAGGCATCTAGTCACATAAAGCTCATTGGTAGAATAGATACACAAATAAGAAAGAAAAAGGAGACAAATGTTACCATAGCAGAAAACCATGAAACAGCAATGATAAATAATAAGAGAAAAGAATGAAACAAAAGATAATCAAAACAACCAGAAAAAAATTTTTTAAATGACATGAATAAGTTCTCACCTATCAGTAATAATTTTGAATATAAACAGATTAAATTCTTCAAGTAAAAGATATAGACTGGCTAAATAGATTTAAAAAAAAAAACGATCCAACTATATACTGCCTACAAGGAACTGACTTCACCTGTTAAGACACATAGATTGAAAGTGAAGGGATAGAAGAAGATAATCTATGCAAATAGAAATGCAAAACAAGCAAGTCTAGCTATACTTAGATAAAACAGACTTTAAGTCAAAAACTATAAAAAGAGGCAAAGAGGTTACATGATGATTAAGGAATCATAACTATGTATATATATATAATATATATATATAATACACACACACACACACACACATGCACCCAATAGTGGAGCACCTAGATATATAAAGCAAAGATTATTAGATCTAAAGGTAGAGATGGGTTCCAATACAATAATAATTAGGGACTATAATACTCCACTCTCAGCATTGAACAGATCCTCTAGAGAGAAAATCAACAAAGAAATATTAGATTTAAACTTGACTTTAGACTAAATGGATCTAACAAACATCAAAACATTTTACCCAATGGCTGAAGAATATGCATTCTTCTCATCATCACATGGAATATTGTTCAAGAGAGACTATATCTCAGACCACAAGTCTCAACAAATTTATAAAAATCAAAATCATATCAACTATCTTCTTAGATCACAATTAAATGAATCTAGAAATAAATTACAAGAGGAACTTTGCAAACAATATACATGAAAATTAAACAACATACTCTTGAATGACCACTGAGTCTATAAAGAAATTAAGAAGGAAACAAAAACATTGCTTGAACAAATAAAAATCCAAGCACAACATCCGAAAACCTATGGGACACAGCAAAAGCAGTGTTAAGAGAGAAATTTATAGCAATAAATGTCTACATCAAAGCAGTCAAAAGATGTCAAATAAACAAATAAACAAGGCACCTCAAGGAACTAGAAAAGCAAGAAAAAACCAAACTGAAAATTAGTAGAAGGAAAAAATAATAAAAATTAGAGCAAAATGAATAAAATAGAAACTAGAAAAATAATACAAAATATTGACAAAATGAAGGCTTCATTTTTTGAAAAGATGAATAAAATCAATAAACTGCTACAAACTAACGGAGAAAATAACCAAATAAACAAAATCAGAAACAAAAAAGAAGATGAAACACATGATAGCACAGAAATGCAAAGGATCATTAGAGAATATTATGGAAAACTATATACTAACAAATTGGAAAATCTTGAGGGAATAGAAAAATTCCTGAACACATGCAATCTACCAATTGAACCAGAAAGCAATAGAAAACCTGAACAAACCAATAATGAGGAACAATTTGAATCAGTAATAAAAAGTCTCCAATAAAGTAAAGCCCAGAGCTAAATGGCTTTACTGCTGAATTCTACCAAACTTATAAAAAAGAACTAATACCAATTCTTCTCAAACTACTCCAGAAAATTAGAGGGGAATGTATTCTTCCTAACTAATTCTATAAGGCCAGAAGTATCCTAATACCAAAACCGGAGAAAGATACAACAACATGAAAAAAGAAAACTATAGGTCAATACCCCTGATAAACCTTGATGCAGAAATCCTCAAAACAATACTAGAAAACCAAATCCCAAACAAGTGGAATTTATCCTAAGGATATAAGGATGGTACAAAATACACAGGTCAATAAATGTGATCCCTCACATCAAGAGAACAAACAACAAAAACTATATGATCATCTCAATAGATTCAAAAAAAGCAACTGATAAAATTCCACATCACTTAATGATAAAAATTCTCAACAAATTAGGCATAGAAGAACATAACTCAATG